ATTGAAACAGATTTTTAAAAATGAAAACTTATAAAAATATACAATTGTAAAATGTATATTTTTAAAATTTAGCATCATAAAAATAAAAATAAGTAAATAATAGTCCATTGTTTTTCAAATTTAACGTCATGTTCAAACAGAAATGTTTTAAAAGCGTTTTAAAAGATTCTAATGATCATGATTTCGCTTACTGAATGTTCTCAGGAAGTGTGTTCCATACGTACGTACATACGTAAATACGTACGCAACTCAGGACTTGAAAATCCAAAAGTCTCTGATCGAATCGAACTCATGACCTTCCGAATACTGGGTAATTTTTTTTTTTAAGTTCCTCTCAACTATATCAATATATTACGGAACATGAAGGAAAATGGATGCATCTTTGACTACGTGAAAACCCATTTATTTATTTACATTTATGTCAAATTCTTTCGGCATGTCCGCCTTGAGTGCAGTTTATAATTGGTTCCTGCTAATTGGTATAACAAAAATCAAACACAATTTTTTAAAGTTTAATTTTTTAGGTGAAATTTTGGATGAGAGAACTAATAAATATTAACATTGCGGTTTATAATCAAATCATTTTTTTGCTAGACGCACTTTACTTATTAACGAGATTTAATTGAATAAAGGTTTGTGTTGTTCGTTTTGCCATTACGAGTGTAAACACTACGTCAAAACTCCTTGAATCTGTCTGCGCTTCCCATGTGTACGTGATTGCTTTTTGACACAACTTGATTGGCTTTCAATTTAAGGTAGCTGACTACCTTACCAAAAAGTAATTAGGAAACTTAAAAGCTGTTTTAAGGCAGGATTTAACGTCGCTGATTCCATGTTTTTTTTAATGGCTTGTTGAGCTCGTTTTCCGGAAGACAATGGGATGTGAACTTTAAAAACTAAGAATTGCTTTTTACATGTTTTTACCTGTGTTTTACCTTTTCTTAGGAAATATAGAAGACGAGTGATAGAGTCCTGCGCAAAATTTAGGGATTTCGTTCTGTTGAAGTTCAAAACGTGCACTCGTATAGTTCCTTAGTAAAATCTTAAAGCTATTCAGCAGTTTTCAGCTTTTTTATGCTGGCGCACGAATCGAACATTGCAAAGTTAGTATGTAAACCTTACATAAAACATTGCGGCAATCTTGTTTTTGAATGCCCCCACCCCTCCAATTCCACTCAGGATGAGATCGTTACCATGACAATTGTCACATTAACTTCGTAAAGACGATTAAATGTCGGTTCTTTGTGTTCTTAGGATGCCAATAATGCAGGAGTGGTTGCCAAGGAAACAACAGTCCCAGATGACAGGCAGACTCTTCGAGACAAGCAAGGGATCTTACCGACAATCACAGAAACTGACGTGCGGGAAGCCCTGCATGAATTAGCAAAGGAACCTGGGTTTGCAAACGAGGGAATGACTGACGAAGCTGACGATGTTCTTTTCAATGAAATCATGGAGACTTTAAAGAATTGCTTCGCAGGATTGAAAGCCCCGCATGAAACAAGGAAAATGACAGGAGAGTCGGCAACGCCCGAAAATGCGAGTATTCATGATGATGATGAGCTGTTGATTGCGCTTGATAGCAGCAATAAGAGCCAGGCTCCTGTTGAACAGGAAGGGAAAGAAAATGGTAAACCTCGAAGCAACTCTTCAATTAGCGTGAAAGCTTTGCAGGTTATGGACATCATCCAAACGAAAAGACGAGCTAAGCAGATTGAAAAGATTGTATAAGCGTTGTAATAGCTAGCGCGAGTTTGTTAGATATTCGGACTTTGTTCGGTGATCATTCGGTAGATATAGTTGACATATTGCGCATACTCGGAAGATAGTAATACGAATAGCAGTACTGAGTCAAATATCTCAGATCTACAATTCCAGAGGATTCGCTTGGAAAATTTTTGAAGGCTTAAAAACCTTCCTTTGCATTTTTATGATTTTGATGGTAATTAAAACGAAAGGCTATTGACAATTTTTTTGTTAAATACAACCACCAAGTTGTGCGTAACTGTATAAAACCGCGTTTTGAAACATGCGCAGTAATTGTCCACGCAGCGTCCGTAATAATCACTCTAGCATTTTTCGATAATTATTATTTGACACTTAACTAATCTTAATAAAAGGCGGCCGCGCTTTTAAACGCCTGAAAAACTGCTCGAGATTATACACAGTGGTATAGGTTGGTATAGGTGTTATAGGTTGGGTACAAACATAATTTGTTCATACAGCCTTCTATTGCGTTTTTCGTACCCAAGCCAAACCAGAACTCGCCTTGTTTGTCGATCTCAGAAAAAGAACAATTGAAGAAAGTGAATAGTGAGTGAGTTGATAAACGAATAGAATGCAGAAGTTTGCTCAATGTCAAAATATATAGTCCTCAAATAAGAAACATTGGTTCTGAAAAATACGAGAATATAGATTAAATGAGTGCGGAATTTTTAGCCAGTTTTGACATTTGAACTACGTACTGAAATGGAATCTCTAAAAATGAAAAAAAAATCACTGCTTCTTTGCTGAAAGATTGCTATTATCCAAATAATAGCCCTGTACTAAGACAGAATCTGTGGCCTCGGTTCTGAGAAAAGAGATATCTAAAATAGAGATATCTAGAAACAGAATAGTGAGCAAGGGAGGAAAATGGAGACAAAAATAGTACATTCGTTAACTGCACTATCCCGTTATGACTCTCACACTAACACAGGCCAAAAATCCTCGAGCTTTAAAATTCCTTAAATTAATCAAATGAAGTAAATCCCGAGTTATTAATACTCGTCTTTCTATGAAACTGCATAAGAATCTAATCAAATAAATCTGTATAGGATATACATAATAATGGATGAGAGTTTAAGTATTTTCACTGATAGAGGAAGTTAATTAAAGACAAATATGCTTAGGCACAGCGAGTCAGGAAAATAAACGTTGATGGTATTTATTAATGTAAATAGCTTAGAATGGTTACATATATAATGATAATAGGAATTCAAATGGTAAATATTGAACAACTTAATAATATAGGTGTAATATTAAAAACATTGAAATAAAATAGCAAAGAAAATTTTTGCGTACTTCTTGGGTACTCTTATCATGAGCTCTTATCATGAGCTTACGGATTTGTAATATGAAAGTGAACCCGTACCTTGGGGTTTTCTTTTGGAAATAAGATTGTTTGGTTGAATCATATCCAAATTGATGTGTCTTCTCGTGCGCAACAGTTAAGCAAAGAAATAACACTCAAGGGAATGAAACATTCTGAAATACGAAAACACTAAACACTACGCCCAAGGTCAGGCTGAAGATGTTAATTGAATATTTGAAATACGTGAAGGGTATACTGTTTTTTGATATTCACTGGGGGAACTCCTGAAACGTATTGGAGCCTCGGATTTTGCATCAAATAGATATATTTCCAGCTTGAGGAATTTCAAGACTTTCAGCTTTGTAAAAAAAAGTTAACCAAATTCTCAGCCGTAATTCTTCCCTTCCCATAGATAACACCGTTTAGTTTTAGCTTCACCGATTATGCAACTATCAATGTATTCTGTTGTTCTACTAATAGTTACGCATTGTTACACATTGAATACTTAGAAGTAGCTAGCCTAGTTATACAGCACGAATTTGAACTATATAGTTAATGTTTGCCCCTTTTTCTACCCGATCCGAAGCTTAAATGACTCGTTCTACCAAATAACATTAAATAAATGACACTAACTTTATCCATTTCTACCGTTTGGAGAACAAATGTGTTGTCTATAAGTTTAAAGCACTTGTTAGATTTGGACATAATATAACAGTTCTAAGTTAGAGCGCTGAAAATGTAAAACCAGAGAACAAGACAAACTCACCATGTACTTCTCAGATTTGTAGTTCATGCTACTTTTGATTCCAAATAGTATTTGATAAGCTTATGCACGAAAGCTGTTTCTTTGCTGTACGAAATTAAAAATGATCGCCATAAAACGTGGCGCCGCCACAGTCGAGAAAGCCTTCACTCATTGTGGCCAGCAGCACAAAAGGGATCAAAAGAGCTTATTGTTCCCGTGCAGGCCGGGCGGGAGAGAGCCATTACCTTTTTAGTTTCAGTTTTTATGAAATGATATTAAGTTTTCATCCAGCTCCTGTGGCTCAGTCGGTTAGCGCGTCGTACTTATAACCAGTATGGGCGTGTTGTCCTGTAACTGAATGAAATGCGAAGGTCGGGAGTTCGATCCTCCCCAGGAGCAGGATTTATTTTATTTTATGAGTATTTGACATGAAATTAAAGAAAAGACAGAGAAGAAGATTGTTTCTTTCTTCTTTTTCTCTTCTTCTTCTTCTTCTTCTTCTTTTTTTTATTATATATATTTATTATATGACCGTGAATCTTAGAGCCTGGACACTAGTAAATCGAGCAATCTGATTGGATAGATCGCATCGCGGTGTGGTCTAGATTCTCCGGTATTAACCGGTCCGATCGCATATTAATCTTACGGCGAAAACATTTTGTCATTTTCAATGAAAAGTGGTCATATAATAAAACTCTTATCAACCGAGCTTGGTCGGTCCGCGGGATAATCTTGACCTCGGTCGGGTACAGACCTTGCTGCGCTCGGTCTGTACATTCCGACCTCGGTCAAGATTATCCCGTACAGACCTCCCGCTCGGTTAATAAGATCTAAAAATTTCTCTCTCTCTCTCTCTCTCTCGTTGTTTTATCCTGAAATCTTCAAACAGAATCCATCTAGCTCCTGTGGCTCAGTCGGTTAGCGCGTCGTACTTATAACCAGTATGAGCGTGTCGTTCCAGTAACTGAATGAAATGCGAAGGTCGGGAGTTCGATCCTCCCCAGGACAAATTTTTTTTAGATTGTATTAGTATTTGACATGAAATTAAAGAAAAGACAGAGAAGAAGTTTGTTTCTTTCTCCTCCTCCTTCTTCTTCTTCTTCTTCTTCTTCTTTTAATTTTTTAATTTTTTTCTCGTTGTTTTATCGTGAAATCTTCAAACAGAATCCATCCAGCTCCTGTGGCTCAGTCGGTTAGCGCGTCGTACTTATAACCAGTATGGGCGTGTCGTCCTTAAACTAAAAGAAATGCGAAGGTCGGGAGTTCGATCCTCCCCAGGAGCAGGATTTTTGTTCGATCATCAAATATTTTTGCGAAACTGACTCTGATACTGAAGGGGCAAAAAGTACGTAACCACAATGTTTCATCAAAGACCGACATTACGGTTGAATTAAGCGAAAGATTTAAAAAGAGTACTTTGATCGAAGGAAAAGCAAACAAAAGGCTGATATTGGTCACTTTTGATTAACTCGAAGTATTTTCAATAATTTATTGTTAAACAAGCAAAAGGAGCAGGCGTAGCTCAGTTGGTTAGTGCGCGACCTTCAGAGCTTGAGGTCCACGGTTCGATCCTTAGGATATCAACGTCTGTTTCGACTTTCCTCTAATCCGTGTAGCTTCAGCTTTAAATACTCTTAAAACAGAGCACTGATGGAGAGAGGGGGGTAAAGTGCGCACCGTCGGCTTCCATTGATAGCAGTTGAATTTCAACTGAAGGAACTACCGACGTTAAATATAGGTACTTTACTTTTTACAAGCAAAAGAAAGAGACATAGAAGGCCAGACATTTGCGGGAAGAGTGAAGCCAAGAGAAGAGGCTTGTTTTTGGAGGGTGTTTTCTCGTCCTTTTATCGTGAAATCTTCAAGCAGAATCCATCCAGCTCCTGTGGCTCAGTCGGTTAGCGCGTCGTACTTATAACCAGTATGGGCGTGTTGTACTGTAACTGAATGAAATGCGAAGGTCGGGAGTTCAATCCTCCCCAGGAGCAGGATTTATTTTATTTTATGAGTATTTTTATGGAAATCTAACTGTCTTTAGGATTTCATTTGTCAATTGGTTCAATGATCTTTCCTAATTCTATGTACCTTGTCAAATATGTAAAATTAGATGCATCAACATGAGGAAGAAAAATCCCAGCGAAGCAGTGTTTGTCGCCAGCTTGAAAGGATTTCAACAGAGTTGTTGTCGCTTCTCAACATTGCTAGTAAACCACGAATCTGTTAAAAAAGGATTCATTCATTTAAAATTAAATGTTGCTGTTGCCCCATAAAGTTTCAGATTACACTTTGCCATTCATCATTTCATTGCTGGTAAAGTTGCAGAAGCAAAATCACATTTTGCACCGCACCGCACCGCACCGCACAGCACCGCACAGCACCGCACCGCACGGATGGTAAAACTTAGTCTTACCTCATTCGTAGACTGTTCGTCACACATGTTAAGGAACCAATCAATTAGCATTCCCAGTTGTTTGACGTCTTCTAAKTTATGTTTGAACGAGTCTAGCTCGAGATTTTCCGTTAAAACAAAAGAGTTTCTAAAATCTCCAATCACAGCCTTGAATCGCGGAATCTGCAAGGACAAATGTCATTGAATAAAGGGTGGCTTAGCGGTACAGTTCGTCTCTCGCCTCTGGAGTTTCAGGTTCGATTTCTCTACTTTGCGTCACATGTGAGTAAGTTATAGTCTCTATCTTGATTCGAGGGTTTTTCTCTATGTTCTCCGGTTTTCCTCCCTCCGCAAAAAAAGAAGAAAACAAAAAAACAAAAAAACAAGCTAAATGTTAATTCGACTTGTGGGTTGTCAGCAGTACTCTGACTTTGATCAGCCTAGAGGTGGTTTCCGGGTACGCCATAAATTTGAAAGTTCCCCAAAAACTTATAAACAAAAATATTCCTTACCCCAGTTTTGTCTTCAATCAAAATACTCTGATTATTAATGAAGTTGTGACAGATTCCGTTGCCATGGAGAAATTCCAAACCAGAGATGACGTCAAGTACCACATTACAAAGTAAATCGCATTCTCCTTGGGTCTCGCAAAAGTCTTTGAGGGTCTTTGAAGAGGAGTAAGTGTAGCATATTAACCTGACAAGTGATAAAATAGAATCAATATATGCTAATCAACAGGGAATGGATAGATTCTTACAGGGTTGTCATAATAAGCGTTTTCGTTACTTTCCATCCCCTGGTCCACTATATTTACCATTCGGTATTTGAGGGTAAAAATTGGTCGACTTCACATTACAGTGTATTGTTGGACTGTTTTAACAGTCCCACAATGCAATGTAATGCAAACTCGACCCAAGATGCAGAAATACAAAATCATTACTCATGTGCAAGTAAGAGGAACAGCACATATCTTACCAGGCTTTGCTTGGTATCGAAGATACATTTGTGACGATCTTTATTAGCGATGAACTTTCTAAAACATCCAAACAAACAACCAAAAAACTTGAAATAAGATCCCTCTACATTCAAGTAAAAAAGCTGATTTCATTCCTTCTTTGCGATACCCAATTTTACAGTTCTGTTCAGTGACCACGAATGATAGTTCCAAGCCGAAGYTGGAGTTGCCGCAAATGATAAACTGTAGTTTTGTTATGTGTGGTAACTCAAACCTCGACATGAAACTATTATTCTTGGTCACTGATCGGAACTGTAAAAAAGGAGTATAGTCTGGAAATATGCATAACTATATTTCAACACTACCTGAGTCCGCGTTCCACYTGCACGACATCACGTTGTTATGACTACCATACTCCTTTAGCACAGTATGGACAGCAACTTCTCGTTTCCAGTCCTCCAAGTTTTTCTCACCGAAATATTTTACTAAGACCTTCTCTTCAGATTTGGTTTCTGCTGACACAAACACCTATAGAAAATAACAAAAAAATTAGTCACTTGTCACAGTCATGGTCATGTGATGACTTTTTACCATAGTAAGTGAAATAGACGTCTTGCAACACCTCGGAATGCAGCTCAATTTGGAGGAGACAACACTAGGTTTCCAATTTTCAGGAGATTAAAATTATTTTGTTTTGTCCTCCAAATTGGGTTGCTTTGACGTCACAGCAAGTGGTCTTTATGTAAATGATTATCTACCTACCCATCTATCTACCATGGTTGACTATAGACCTTTTACTTTGAGTGTAATGTTTTCTCATTTCAGACCACTTGTCATTCTTTTGAGAATATGATTATTTTTCATATTCATTTGTCTTCTCATGCACAACCGACAAACAAAGAAATAATACTCAAGGAAATGACAAGTGGTCCGAAATGGGAAAACATTATGCCCTAGGTAAAAAGGTTTATAGTAGCAATGGTAAGTCACATCGATCTTGTGTTGCAAATTTCAAAAGGGTTACTATTGGCTTTGATACCAAGGATGAAAAATGAGCTAAGGCACTCAAAAAGTGATAGCTATTGCTCGATTTTATTTTTTTATGGATAGAATAGATTTAGTTCCAAGAGGCCAGCTACTGTAGGTCGGAGTATACATAATAGCTTCTGACAAAGATGTGGACCTTTTAACATGCGTAGCTGACATGAAATACTATGAAATACGTGCACACATGAATTATTGATAACTAATAATTCGAGATATTTGATACTTACCACTATCTCGTCTACGTCTGTAAGCGGAAAAATGTTCCATTCCTCGAGGATATTCAATTCTTTCACAAGGTCATTTTCATTACTTGTAACAATCACTTTAGGCAGATTATTGGAGGTATGTTTCGGTTCTTCTTTGTCTTGCAAAGAAATATCATCGGCTAGCAGCAGAAAAAGAATGATACAAAGCTAAAAAATAGATGCCTGGAATGTCAAAGAAAAGGACGGTGTAGATTTTTATGCATTTTGCATGTTGCATACCAAACCTGATATGTATTGTGGATCATATGTAAATAATGTCAGCACAGAAAAAAATGTGCCGGGAAAACGTGAACACAAAGTTTGGGAAAATTCCATATTGTTGTGACCTTTATTTGCTGATTGTACACATTGCCCATGCACATTTCAAGCCTGTTATGCAGCAAGCAACATGCAACAAAACCTCCACCAACCTTTTTTGAAATAGCTGTACCGTAAAAGACCTATTAGACGCCCCTCTCTAATAAACGCCCCTCATCTAATAGACGCCCCCCTCCAAAGGTTAGTCAAGTACATGCAATAGAAAGACAAACGGTAAATGAACATTAATTTATTCAGTTTCAATTGAGGATTGGAGCAACTCAAGATGCAGCTTTCTGTGTTAGACGAACACAAACGCCCAGACCCTTTTAGTGACATGAGACTCAGACATTGATGAAGCAGATAAAGAGAATGAATGCTTGATTGACCAGGATGATTCCGTTGAACGCCCCTCTCTAATAAACGCCTCTTATCTATTAAACGCCCCCCTTTCGCTATGAAAATGTAATAGACGCCCCGGGCGTCTAATAGGTCATTTACGGTATACATGATAATTAGATTATTTGATTCATCCATATTCACGTGTCTTTTGTGTGCGGTCTTTAAACATAAAGATATACTTTACGAAAGAAAAGGCAGGTGCACTGAAATGGGGGGAAAAACATTAGGCCCAATATAAAGAGGCCTATTCTTTACCTGCTCGACTTCCGCGATTCCTTGAGTAACTAGTTTGATAGTTACTAAACGACGAAAAAAGGCTCAGAGATGGCAAATGGCTTTTGACATAATCAGTAGAAAAGGTGTACAGGATTGGATTGATTGAAGAGTTTATCGGAAGAACAAAGACGGCAATCCAAACATAAACTGTTCCTTTTGGATCATTGAAACTGTTTGTAATAGATAGAATCCCAAGAATAATAACAGGCATCCAACAACAGAAATCAGTGAAGATAATGAAAAACAATCTTGCTGCCTTGGATGTCTCTTTGCGCATGTGTTTTGTAGCACTCGAACGTGACATGCGCATGATTGTCCAAAAGATTGCGCAATAGGAGACTAAGATGAAAACAAATGCACCCAAGTTTAAGACTATGAAGAATGTGATTGCGTACTCCCATCCCGGAGAGCGCTGCGATGACAACTGTAATGGAAGACAGACAGTTGACCGACCRTAGAATCCAAACCCATACTGTTCGTCCTCGAAGTAATCCAGTCCGAATATGGGCAGAAAGGAAATTATCAAACAAAAGATCCAAACAACGCTGCATAAAATGCAAGTCACCTTCAAGGAAAGCCTTGGAATCTTGAACGCGAACACGACAGAAATTAATCTATCTGCAGTAATGATGGTTAACATGAGAACCGATGCCTCGCTGGAGAGCAATGAAAGAGCACCAGCAAACTGACAGGTCGTTCCTGAACGCCATTCAACGTCATGTTTATAATATTCTCCTTTAAACTGGATATCTTTTACAGCAAGGATCAGTAGGTAAATTCCCATGAAGAAGTCAGCGATGGCAAGGTTTGTTAATAACAATGATTGGACTTTATTTTCATCACGAACTTTAAATCTCCAAACCACTACTAGAAGGTTGCCTACTGAAGCGAGGATCCCTAGTATCCACAAACAGACTCGAACAGCTGAGTTCTTCATCATGTCGTCACAACTCGAGAACTCGTTACTGGGAGACTCGCAACGGAGAGCTTCAGAGATAGACCTTCTGGCGTAACAGCATAGAATAAAGTTGTCCAGTTTGCTGGGGAACGAATATCAAAAGCTTTTTTTAGAATTAACTGAATTGATATTACTTTGTATAATAGAGATCTATAATAATAATCATTTATTTGTTAGAGCACGTTCATTATTTTGGCAGCTTTCGCCGATGTGGGCCTGCTTCAATCACAATCACTACCACTACATTTACTGTTTTAAAAATAATATTGAATAATAACAATGATGATTATGATGAGGATAGTCACTGTCACTGCCATTGTCTATATTCTTGGCTCAAGTATATTTGCTACAAGTTACAAAGAACGCCTCTTCTATAACGATGATAACTTACAGTTGCCGAAGGTTTCGAAGATTTTCAAAAACATCACTTGTTAAATCCTTCTCTGATAATTTGTTGTTTTGAAGATTTCTGTAGAAAAGAATAAAAACAGTATTAAAGGTAACCTTAGCAACCACTATCTTGATAGCTATTATTAACTAAAAATTAAAATCTTTTTAAATAATCTATTTTTCAAAAGACRGGTATTCGAGCTATCACCATCGTTATCAACCATTATCCATATATTTTGATACCTACAGTATTTGTAGCGCTTTGAGTCCCTTGAATGTATTTTTGGTCAGTTTTTTGATGTTATTATGGTCAAGATAACTTGAGAAAAGAAATGTCAGTTAGAGCAAACAAAAATTCATACTACTCAATACAGGCATAACGCAGATTTCGTATGTCTGTGAAACGTGTTGTCACACGCTCCGGCACCGTCATGGTCACGTGAAAGGCCCGAGCACCATCATGGTCACACGCAGTACAGTCACGACACGGAATTGAGTCAATCATGGCGCGCACATTGTGATTAGCCAATAAAAATGCCCGGACACGATAATGCACGCTCGTAATGTCGATCATGTTTTGAATTTTGATTTGTTAATTATTTGATCAATGAAATAGGACATTGTTTATTGTTCAAACAATATGGTTCAAACAACTCTTACAGATACTGAAGACCAGGCATATCAGTAAACAATCCATCTTCTAGCTCTGTTATCTCATTCATTCGAAGACTCCTGCGCAACAGATAAAACCTTTAGTACCTAGATTAAGTTAGGTGGGTAAAAAAGGGCATTTGACTATGCAATAGGGGTGCTTATTTGCATACTGAAACACGAGGCATTTTTTCAATTATCAGAGGTTTTGCACCATCACGTGATGRCAGCCATGTTGGATGGCAGAAAAATACAATCGTTTCACATAAGAAAGAATTCAATAGAACTATTGCATGTGACGTCAAAACAGCTCAATTTGGAGGACAAAGCAAAATGATTTCAACTTCCTGATAATTGGAAACCTATTGTCATGCATGTCCTCCAAAATCGGAGCCGCATTTCGACGTTCTGCAAGGGGCCTATTCCCGAGAGTAAATGGATTTTATTGCTCTGCCATCTAACATGGCTGCCGRCACTTGATGACGCAAAACCTCTAATGCATAGATGTTATGCATGTTTTCGTTGTCATTTATGTCTTTCTCTGTATTTTACGATCTGACAATGAGGCTTACAGTATTCGAAGACTTGGAAGATTTATCAAAGAGTATCTTGTAATATTACTTAAAAGATTTGCGCCAAGATCACTGAAACCACACACACAAAAACAATATATAAGTACATACAACACACAGAATATTCTATATGTATTGTAATGAACTAATGGCCTAGTTCAGTATTTAGATAAAATTTGTCCGATCCATACACGTGTCACTCCCTTGAGTATCGTTTCTTTGTTATTGCTTTTGGAAGATATTCAAACGAGGAATAGAGGGTTTTGCACCATCACGTGACGGCAGCCGTAATAGATGGCATGAACAATAAAAACGTTTAACATAAGAAAGAATTCAATCCCTGAGAGCAAAGGATTCTTGTTCTGACATCTAACCACAGGCAGTCCAAGCTTTATTATGGGCGCCAGCACGTGATGGTGTAAAATCTCTATAGTGGCCTCATGCAAGAAGACAAATGAAGTGATCTGAAAAGGGAAAACCTAACGTCCAAGAAAAGGAGGTCTATATTGGACTTACAGAGTATGCAATCTTGGTAGAGAAGCAAGTTTCGGGAAGCTTCTGATAAAATTCCCATTCAAGCGTCTGTATATAAATAAACAATCATAATTTCTAAGTGTCTTAAAAGTAATTTCCTTACACAATGTTTTGGGATATAGGGAAACTGCAAGGGTGGCTTACGTAACGGGGGTCTCGGAGTCGATTCTTGAACTTGGTCATGGCATGGTATCACTAGTGAATAGAGTTTGCTCGTTGCTTGATTCAAAGAGTTTTCTCAAGGATCTCAGGTTTTCCTCCTTACATTAAAAATACAACTTACAATACTTTGACTGACGACATATTTGCAAAAGCCAGGTCATTTGTATTCAAGATGAAATTTCCACTTAAATCACTGGGAAAAGACAAGACACAACCTGAAATTAACTTCACTGGTTTTACAATATACACCGAATCAAAATATGGCGACCAATTTGAATATCTATTGTTCTGGAATGACTAGCTCGTGTTTATGTAAAAAAAAGTAAATCGTTTTTACATGTATGAGAGGCTAGTCAGTCCAGAACAATAGTTAATAAAATTGGTCGCATTCGGTGAATAGAACCCTTGCAGTACGTCGGAATGCAGCTCAATCTGGGGGACAAAACAATATGTTCCAATTCTCAGGAGATTGACATTCTTTTGTTTTGTCCCCTAGATTGAGCTGCTTTGACGTCACATGCAAGGGGCCTATGTGAGAGGGGAATAAACGATTTATAAAAGAAAGGAAGTACGGGTTTTTTTATTTTCACGAAATACAAATGTCTGTATTAAGTCCGATTTACGCGGTTTTTCCTCACACCTGTCGAGTGCAACCCATGCCTACATACGCATATCTTATAACTGCCATAAGCAAGTTGTACGGTCGATTTACACGAATCAATTAATATTCGTGTTGTCAGCATTTTTTATGGAATAATTTATAATTATTAAAATTATATTAAGAGGACAACATCTTGAAATCATTCCACAGAGGTGGCCGCTTAACAGAGGTTGTTCAGAATTAAAAACCGACTCATTCGTATACTTACATATACTTGAGGGATGAAAGAGAATCGAAGTGAGATTTTGTTAGAATGGGAAGTCTGTTTCCTCCGAGCAGCCTAGACAAGTATAGAAGCAAAATGACCCAAATATTAAAGATCAACTTTTGTAAGAAAATAAAGAAATATTCAAATGCTGTCTTCTCTGCAACATTTTAAGCGCCATGTTGCTTTATGGGAAGGATACAGACTGCACTGCACGCCCACAGCAATTTAATAGAGGTTCTCTCATATGAGTATGAAACGATACGGTAAACTCATAGCCGTACTGTAACCTTGCCGTTTCTTAACTTAGCCGCAACTAAGCGTTGTGATTGGATGATTTACTGGAAAACAATAGCAAGCCTTTTCAATGTTGCGGCATGTCGTAACGTGCACGTGATGTAAGTCAGTAACATACTATTCCCATTAATATAAAAACCATTTTAACTATCTATTAATAATTCCGACTTTAATGAAAGACTAAAGGGTGCGAGGCAAAGGATTGTGGTAAAAGTTCAGAAATTCAGCTGTCACTGCTATGCGATACGAACGTTACTGTTAGATAATGTTTAATGATAATGTCTCACAGAACGGAAGTCTGTTTTGGTATTACAGGCAGAACCTCAAGGCTTTGACCACGACTTTCTACGACAACTTCTCCTGATTCGTCGTTAGATGTCACATAGCATTTCGTGTCATACGAACAACCTGAAAGAAAATAATGAAATTGATGATTTTTTCCATTTTTAGACGAAGTCACGTCCGAAACGTCAGTTAATAAGTATACTTTTATACGGCGGTGTACAACTTACTCATATGACATATATCATATGATTCCACTTACGACTTCCAGTTGGTATTCTTACCTTTTAACGTGCATGCGTGCATCTTTGATTTAACTAAAAAATAAAATAAAATAAATCCAATCAGTCAATGAAAATTTCATATCTTTGCAAAACTCTAAATTGCTTTTTCCTTTTTTTTTTTTTTTTTTTCTTGGTGAAGAGGGCCAGTGTGAGGCTTGCGACTAAGACCAGGGGAGACGTGCTGTACTGGTGTTTGCAAGATGTCAGTAGGAAGAGATTACAAAAAAAGGGAAAAGATTACGTACGAGCACGGTCTGTGATATCAGCAGAATAAAATATTTACACAAGTAGAGACCGACAGTTTTCACTAAAGCTTATTTTTATTTATGAAAAACTGCAGGACATAGCGAATAGGACTGCATCAACGTAAACACTCACCGCTTTTCCAAGCATAGCTCAATTTAAAGCCAGTTCTAACCACACTAGAATCCGAACGAAAGCGAATCGTCATATAATTGCTAGTAGATTCTATAACGGGTGGATACAAAACACCACAAAATCTACCAATCCGAGTTGATGTTACCGACCCTCCATCGAACAGCTCTACATAATCCTTAGCGCATTTGTCGTGGTACTCCAGGTCAAATGCGAGTATCTTCAGCCGTATTAAATGATTCCTTGACGCTGATATTACCCAAATGTTGGTTGTATCAACATCATGATATCCAGGGTGGAATGGAGAAGTGATGATTCCTGACATCTGAGTAAGAGTAACCTCCAAAGCTGTTAAAAAAATGATGTCACTTTCAGGTTTTAAAAAAAAGAAAGTGATGACGGCGATACTGATCGATAAATAATAAGTAGGAGTAGGAGTAGGAGTAGGAGTAGGAGTAGGAGTAGGAGTAGGAGTAGGAGTAGGAGTAGGAGTANGTAGGAGTAGGAGTAGGAGTAGGAGTAGGAGTAGGAGTAGGAGTAGGAGTAGGAGTAGGAGTAGGAGTAGGAAAAAGAGCCAGTGTGTCTCTAAAATGTTAATAAGTTCCTACAAATACCCATGTCTCTATTGCACATGGTGTGGGAGGGTACGTGTACTTGAACTGGGACCGGGGCTTAGGTGAAACCAACCTACATTATTCACTCAGAATCAGGCTTTCGAATGTTATGTCATAACATGACCGTATAGACCATGTTAGACCAGTTAGACCATGTTAGACATGATAGACCAGTCCATTTGTGATCATTTCCACCATTTTGATTAGCTAAACATATAAGACAAATCACAAACCTTGGTTTTGTTGTGGCTTTTTGCTGCAGCTTCCATCTAATAAGTACAGAGCACTGATCACGATGAAGCCACTTCTTTCATTAAAAGATGCTTCCATAGACAACTAAATAAWGTTACATCAAATCAAGTCACTTTCACGATATTTTGAATGATATCGCAAAATATTTCTATTATCGTTAATGGCTTTGATTTATCAATAAGAGGGTTTCTATGTTTATATGTAGGGTTTCTAGCTTTATTTTGCTTTTGTTGTAAAAACATATGCAACACAGCGAAGTTTCTCTGACTGTAAAAAATCAAACACTCCTTAGCTTTTTACAGTTCCGTTCAGTGACCACGAAAAAAGTTCCAAGCCCAGGTTGAAGCATCAGAGCAAAACTAGTTTTTCGTGCGCGGCAACTCCAACTCAACTTGAATTACACACAATAAAAAGCTGAATATTAATATTTGTGATGTATAATATTTTCTTACTTGGTAATTCTCTACAGATCCGACTGAAGTCTGAGCGTATTGCCACCATGATTGGTCGTTATTGGCGACATCCAAGACCGGCACGAAAGCATGACTGGAATAATAACGGTGCATAACACGTAACCGCACTGCGCCCGGTCCGTAAACGATGTAACGAAATCTGAGGCACTGGGTATGCCCGAATGTGGAACGGTTGTACCACGGACTGTTGAGAACTGAAGAGAATCTTGATGAATTTGTAGCAAAGATGAAATGGTCAGCTGCAAGATACGAATAGACCGTTATACCCCTTTAGATTGGCGGTAATGTTTTCCCAATTCAGATCATTTGTCATTCCCTGGCGTATCATTTCTTTGCTTAACTGTTGTGACGTATGAGTATGAAAAGGAATGACATGTTGCCTGCAATGGCTAAAATCCACCCAAGGCAAAGTGGCCATGGTCTATACACATTCTGGACATTTGAAATATATTGAAATTATGGGGTGGGTGGGGCAGATGGGAATTTGATATGGGGATGGACTTCAGATTGGATTTGATTTGGACTTTGTGGAAAGTCCAACCTTTATTAACCTTTAAAAAGGGCTATGGACCCACCCATCTTTATTATGCGTGAGCTGGTTTGACTGTGAAGTATTGTTAAGGTGGATAAAGAGCGGAGAAGGGGGAGGGGGGATAGGTAATGAATTTGGAAGGTAGGGGTTTGGGAACTTTTTAAATGAATATCGGAAAACATTGCGCCAAATTTAAAAGGGGCTATGCGACATTAATACTATTTCATTACTAATTTTCATAATTCAAGTTATGTTACCTCCACTATAAACGCACCCAGCTGGTCCTATCTTCAAATTACTGTTCTTTATTTCTTTCAAGATAGTGTTCCAAGACAGGAGATCCCCGTTTTCTTGTACACAGCCAATGGACATGGCAAGCAATTCAAACTCGTTCATTTCACGTGACCATATATTAACACCACTTATTTTTCCTTTAACGTCCAGATCATTCTTTCCCGTGGTATCGAACATAGAAGTTGTGAATGTACCACCCTCTTAGTGAGATAAAAGAAATAGTAAAATCAATAGTTGTGACTTTAATTTCTAAAACAGAATGGAAACATTCGCTGGTAACATTTGTTACATGAGAGCAATAGCGCTACGTTTGTCTCTACCGATGAAATAGAGCACTTGGAATGTTGGGAGAAACACATTTTAATGATATGTGATATGAAAATACAGGGGTGGGATCTGGGAGGGCGTTATGATCACCGTAAATAAACATAGTGATGCACAAAAAGTCGTAGCATTTTGATATTGATAACATTTATAACATTGTTATTGACAACACTTGATATATATATATAGATGGATCGTGATACCTGGGATAATAAGGGCATCGAGTTGGTCTGGTTTTTCTCGCAGCGATACACGTCCATCAATGTATGCTTTCAGTGTCCCACCGGCAGATCTCCATGTCAGACAAACATGGTGCCAGGCTCCATCGTTCACAGAAAATCCAGTATTCCTGGAAATTAATTGACGTTTATTTGCAAGGTTAGTTATGCATCATTTATGCATCCCTCCCTCCCTTTCTCCATCCTTCCCACTTCATTCCCTCCTTCTATCCCTTCCTTCATCCTTCCCACTTCCCTCCCTCCTTCCCTCCCTCCCTCCTTCCCTCCCTCCCTCCTTCCCTCCCTCCTTCCCTCCCTCCTTCCCTCCCTCCCTCCCTCCCTCCTTCCCTCCCTCCTTCCCTCTCCTCTTCCATCCTTCCCTCCCTCCTTCCCTCTTTATCTCCATCCACCCATTCATCGTTCCGTCCGTCCGTCGTATGCAAACAAACAATGCACAAAACAATGCACTTACCATTTACGTCCCAAAACACTAATCATAACATTAGTGTCCATATGTATCCCCATAGCAACGCTCATTCCACAGCCATCAGGGATCTCATAAAGCACTCTCAGGCCACCAGTTTGTGATGTCATCCACACGCACAGGGTTACCGCGTCAATTCGATCATTTATAGCCGAGTTGATGCTTATGTTACCAAACTGGGACAACGGCAAATGCACTTCAAACTGCTCTGTATGTCTTGATTCTGAGGGAAGATATTATAAAGGGTAAAAATTAGATAGCAAACATGCACTTAAAAAAAACTAAAAATGGTTTTCTAACATATTAAAACGTTTCGTATTCTTAACAATAAACAACAGATCCCTTTGCTTTGGCGTATGTAATGTTTTCTCATGTCATTGTCTTGAGAATAAGATTCTTTGTTTGAGTGGTATCCATATTCAAAGGTTTTAAAGCAAGGGAAATGACAACTTTGTCTAAAATAGGAAAACATTATGCCAATCTAAGAAGGTCTATTTGTCAAATACTTTTTCGGTTGGCAGATTCTTCTTGTATCCTTACTAAATTCCAAAACTCTTTACCTTTTCTATTGTTCGGTTTCGTCTTAGCAATGTTGGTTATCTCACGATGGACATCTAAGGCAGACRCCAGAAACCAGTTTATCCTGTTATCGGGTTGTTCAGTTTTCCACCGACATAATTCTTCTGTTGTGTTACATTCTCCTATAGAGATGTTGGTAACAAAAGCACAAAGATTAAGGAATATTATTTCTATGTTTTGGATAAGTATCGTAGGTGTTTGTAGTAATAGTGATGCATTGTGGTGGTGGTGTTAAGTATCGTAGGTGTTTGTAGTAATAGTGTTTCTTTGTGGTGATGGTATCGATCTTACCTTGACAATATCCCCATCCACCTTCGAGGTTCGTCATACACCATGGGCGAGTATTATTAAGTGTCATACAGGATGAGTACTTTTTACCATCGTAAAGGAAAGGGAACAAACAGCATCTACCATCAATAGTCCTCCACGGACAATATCCTTTAAATAAAACCGACCTACTTTCAAAATCTGGGTTTAATTCAATTCTTATAATTTTCTTGAATCTGAGGCTAACAAGGAAATACCAATGAAGAAATGCCACAAATTCCATTGACAAAAAAAGTTCTTTTGTATTTCCGCGTTGGCCTTACTTCCAAGATACTTTTGAGAAGGGTCCATTAAGAATCAAGTTCTGAAATTTAATCAAAACCTTTATCATGACACTATCGTCAGAGTTTTCAGTCCTGTTACAGGCATTGTCAATGAATGGACCCTAAAAGTATCGTGGATGCGAGGCCAACATAGAAATACAAAAGAAATCACACTTTTTCTTGATAGAATTTGTGGCATTTCTTTTTTATTTCCAAGTTAGCCTCTTATTGCTCACTATCAGTCACTTGACTTTTTGGAGTTGACGGGTTGGAGGAGGGCAAACAAGCGGTTTACTGAGGGGCAACTAGCGATTGTTAAGTCAAACATAGATTAACCATGGTCAAAACATGTCAAAATAAGTCCACAAACTATTGCATTTGACTATTTCTACGACATGACACCAGAAAACAAGAGATCAAAACAACCTCCAAGATTCTACAAGCCATTAAAAACGCAGCTTTTACCGGAAGTGACGTCTATTTATACCAACCTGTTCAAGACAATTTTAAGAAGGGTGGATTACATTTGCATCTAAGTTGTTATTATTTTAATTATTTACCATCACAGTAGTCAAAATTTTTAAATTCACTAGTCACCAAGCACCAGGGCTGTGGGTCTTTGGGATCAGTGGTGTCACAGTCGTAGTAGATAGTATTTTCATAAATAAAGGGAAACCAACAGCACTTGTCATTTCTATCGTAGGTCAGCACCGAACACTCGTCTAAAGAGGGATCAAATATATACTTGTTTTAATACACCCTTATCAAAATTGAATTCGAGGCCAACATGGAAATACAAAAGAAATGCCACAAATGCCACCGAGAAAAAGTGTGATTTCATTTGTACTTTCATTTTAGCCTCGCATCCAAGAGCTTTTTGAGAAAGGTCCATTGCATAAATAAAAATAAATCTTTTTTTAAGTGTCTATTGGCTTTTTCAATCGCGCGCACTACCGCTACACTCACAAGTGTCATTCTCTTGACCATAAAATTTTTAGACTAAGGTTAAACGTTAAAAAATTATTGGAAGAATTCCTAGTATTTCTACTAATACAAGTAAGCGTAAAGCAAACTTATCCTTAAGATAATCAGGTACTAGATTATTAATGCATTTGAAAACCATTACTTCGCAACGTATGGTATAAATATCATAACTTCTTGGTGGCAGTTTTCAAATTGTCTTCTAGAGAATTTCCTTTCGTTGCCTACCTGCATGATAAGGAATAGGATGACAACTAGTTTTTGAGAACGTAACCTCGTCAAATGCGATGACAGCTGAATGACTCAATGTTCCTTCAAATTTCACCTGTAATTTTGAGAGTAAAGGAAAACGTGTCGTAAATGTTGACAAGATAGTTTATTTATCTGTTTCTTTATTGTTTCTTTGTTGGATAGTCTATTTGTTTATTTTTCTATCTGTTTGTTTGTTAGTCTGTTTGATTCCTATTTTTCTGTCTGTGTTTCCTTGCTTGCTTTTGTTGTTGTTGTTGTTTATTTGTCTGTCATTTTTGTCTGTTTGATTTCCTTCTTTATTTGTTTCTTTTTATATGTTTGTTTTGTATGCTTGTTTAATTAATTAATTTACTTATTTATCTGTCTGTTTCTTTGTTGTTTGATCATTCTTGATTTGCTTGTGTTTTTGTTTTGTTTACGTGTGTGGTTGTTTACTTGTTCTTTCGTGAATAAAAAATAAACGGTTTACCTGGTCTCCATTTTCACTAGTGAAAAATGGAACTTGTACGTAGATCCATTTATTTGTGGCATGGGGTGTGCCCCACAGCTTGGTACTAGACCCGTTTTTATTTTGCAATAAAACATTAAGGTTATGTGTGAAGTAAGTATCTGTTGCGCCGATATAATAGGAAAACATGAGACATTTCCAGTTGTCCTGGAGACGAAGAGGAGGACTTGATATGCAATGTGTGAATGTGTATGACTGTTCTTGAAGCAAAAACAAGAATCCACCTGAAAGCAATAGAACAAGTTTTAAATGATCCGAGTTACAAACTTTATCAATACCCTAAAACAACCTTTGGGCTGATTAAAGTCAGGGCATGGTCAATTCAAAGATCTAACCCTAAAGCAACCTCTTGTCTGATCAAAGTCAGGGCATGGCTAACTCACAGATCGAATTGGAATTAAGCGTGTTATATAGGTTGTGTAGAAGGAGGAGAACCGGAGAACCAGGAGAAAAACTTGAATTAGAGAGAGATGTAACAAACTCTACTCACATGTGATGCCGAGTATGGGGATCGATTGACATTTTATTGTAAACTTCACACACTCCTCGCTTGTCTTTGGTTCATATCCCCTTCATTAGCCACTCACCCTTTTCTTTTAATAACCTTTGCACGCTCTAATGTCCAATTCTTTTGTGTGTGACTACCACAAGTTATGAGTATTTTTTTAAATCATTGTTCAAAAGAATGTTACGTTCCAGACATCGCGGAGTGGAACTGAACAATGCGCACAAGAAATTATTCATAGGAGAGGTATGAATAGAGGTTACCACTCAGTATTTATTTTCATTCATTGGCTGTAGCCATGCGGGTAACAGAAAGTATAACAAACCTGTGTCAGGAGATGCGACACCCTGTACGTTCATTGTTGATTTGGATAAAGACCACTCATTATCACCATGCCAACTACACAGGTCTGATTCAAAATCACAGTTCGGAGGTGCTACAAAATAACAAACAAATAGTTGAGACTTCAGAATAAGAGTGGAACACTTTCGTTAATTTATTTGCTTTTGTGCTCACTGAAAAACAGAAATCAAGATAATGAAAAGAGGCAAAAGAGATATTACGATTGTTGAATTTTTTCTCCAGAGAATGCGACAGACTTTCGCAACTTTTCCTCTGTTCAACTGACAAACAATGATTTGAAATCCAGGTTAGACTTGAAATCTTTGCATATAGTTACTTTACAGGCTTATCCTGGAACCTTGTTGAATGGTCACTCAGGTTTGATTCGGTGTGGCGTAAATAGAGATTACTCCACGGAAAGTGCCACGAACGATTTTTATTCACGAGTTGCGCAGCACCAAAAAACGAACGAGTGAGCGCAGCGAACGAGTGAGTTTTTTGGTGCGTAGCAACGAGTGAATAAAAATCGTTCGTGGCACTTTCCGTGGTGTAATTTTTTTATTTCATACATACTAAGATTTTCTGGGTTTTTATGTACGTGCATCTACGGCCGCGCCGCAGGCAGGAAGCCATTCGAGTGCAATAACACACACTGACATTATGCAAAAAATACGACAATTTCTGTTTAACAATTTAATTAGAAAAACGAATGAAGCAAACAAATGAAATAAAGTAAATATTTATACATAAATAAATAGATAAATATAGATTAATTTAATTTATTTATGAAGTGTCCTTGAAATTATAATTTCTCAAGTTTGAAAATGAAGTCTATATACGAGCTTCAAGTGAAAACTTGTTTACAACAGACTAAAAGCTAGCTTAAATCTTGATGTAAAAATAACAGACACAAAGTARAATCAATTTACAATTCAATTTGTTCAATTTAATCTTCATCAGAACTGCTATATAATACACGAATTCTTTTCTGTGGACGGATTTCTTGGGATGGTATGGTTGGCGATTTATTCAGAGTGTTTATTGTGATTGAAAACTGTCCTCCTTGGATAACAGCTCCACTAAATAATGCTACTGACTGTTGACCTGTATTGCTGCTAGATTGCTGAGGCTGTGCTAGGGAACTAAATCCAGCATTTTCAATTGGA